CTGGATCTACGGACAAAAGAGTTGAAAGCATTAATGATATTAAACTGAGTCAATTTCCTGCTGATTACTAATGTTCTGTGTGTGCTGACGACAGTGTACACAGTAAGTCCTTCTGCTTGGAAATGTGCTGCAGCTATAAACTGTGATATTCTTACAGTTTACAGGTTCACTAAAACACAGAATGTGTTATATTTTAGAGTAGGGTCCTCAAAGTTTGACTTTCTAGCACGTTGTATAGCTTGTTGTTAAGATTAAGTCTGTAAAATAGTTGTATTGGTCCATTTCAACCTGCAGGAGTTTCTGATCACTCGGGTTGCATGATTTACTGCAAAATAGGATAAAGTCTAGACTGTTCAAAACAAATTAAAGATATCTCCTCACATCTTTACTGCAGAACCTAAATCACCTGACGAAGAGCCAAGAAGTCCTTCACTGACTGACACTTAAAAAGCCATTTGTTTACTGTTTTGTAATGTTTAAAAGAGACCTTATTGTTTCCCTTTCTTCATATAGGAACATTTAATTCAGGTCACAGGTTTATCTGCATTTACATTATTATTGTTTTAACCAAATGCAAAGTTTATGTTCCAGATGTACCAACTACCGCCACAAGGTGGTGCCTTTGAGTAACAGTCGTCACAGTAGAAGCACATCATACAAATATGAAACTGAAAATAAGCATATTTCCTCTTTAACATGTCGTTCTTTCTCATCAAAGATATCAGAAAGATCTACATCAACTGCAAAAAGAGATGCATTACTGAAGCCCACGACTCTGATAACTACTAACTAAAAAACTGATAAAGCTCAGTCTAGACGTAGAAGAGTCAGATACTGAACCACAGCATGTGTGACTTTAGAGATGGTGAAGATTTATCTTTGGGTAAAAGGTCTAATGCATGTGAACTGAAGCCGGATCTTTATAGGACTTACCTCTTTCCTGATGCGTGATGAACGCTGGAGAAATGGAGGTGAATCATGTCAAACAGATGATGAATTAAAAGCTTATAACTAAAATAAAGATGAACTATTCAGACCTTGTGGTTAAATTCCATTGCTTTATTACTTCAGGCCAAAAAACGGGAACCTTCAGAGAGAAAGGTCAGAGCTGTAACACCTGACATAAACCTTAGACTTTACATAAAAAGGCACATGTAGTTTTACAGCCTACGGTTTTCAGGCCTAGAGTTTGGTGTTTTGGACGTCAACTTCCTTCATGACCTTTCCCGAACTGAAAACATCCTGTGAAAAGGTTGAAGTTTTAGCACTGAAACATGGACAACACCCCGACCGGACAACGTGTTCAAGACCCAAGGCCGGATTAACCATATGGGCAACCTGGGCAAGTGTCCAGGGGCCCTTGAGCAAAGAGGGCCCTCAGTGACAAGATAAAAAACAATATATATATATCTTTTAATTTTTTTTCTTTTCGGGCACAACCTCACTCATCATACATTGTTTTAAATGACACTCACTCTTCGCCATAAATAACACAGCTTTCCCATAGGGTCAAATTACTGTAGGCCACTGTACTGTAGATCTCACTATGTATGCGCTCAACTTTATTACTACGCGGCGGCGGTGTATAGCCGAATCACAGCCCCACCCTTGAGCAACCACACAATTTCACTACATATTTTACTTTTGTAACTCTCTATGTTTGTGACAAATAGAACTCCTTGTGTACTTGTACAGCCAGCCAGTCATATTTTTGCATTAAGTGGGGTGCTGTTCTGAGGTTTTGATTGATATTACCTAGGTCTTCTTTTCATTTTTTTCATTTCAAACCTTTATTTAANCTCTCTCTCTCACTTTCTCGCGCTGTATGCAAGGCCGGAGGAACCATATGGGCAACCTGGGCAAGTGCCCAGGGGCCCTTGAGCAAAGAGGGCCCTCAG